TCTATAAGTAGTGCCGGTAATATCAGGCCTCGTTTATTTTACCGTTTTTAATTTTTAATTTTTAATTTTTATAATTAAAATTTTTTTAAAAATGTCACATTTAATTTTTTTTATTATAATTAAAAATTCTAAAAAATATCACATCTCAATTTGAATCTGCGAAATAAATAAAACCTGAATGTATCAACATAATAAAATTAGAACTTGTCATTTGTCATAATGTCTCAGTCTATAATGCTTTAAGGGATTTCACATTGAATTTGACTGATCTTTGTATTTACTCATTAAAGGGCTATAAATACGGGATTTAACTCTAAAAAAAGGACCCCTAATTCATTCTTGGTGGTAATTACACACTCAGGGCCCATTTGGTAGTAAATTAGTGATCTGAAAGATGATCAACAAAAATCATCAGAAATAGTAGAAAATAGGCCAATATGAAAAGCTTAAGAAAGTATATAGGCTAATTTTTAGTTATAGAAATTAATAGGTCATAACTTGTCAAGTTATGGTTCATAACCAGATAAGTTATGGACAAACTTGTCAAGTTATGGTTCATAGCCAAACAAGTTATGGATAAAAATCATGAATTATGGGCAATAACTTGTCAAGTTATAGTTCATAACCAGACAAGTTATGGACGAAAATAGTAATTTAGCATATTTATTAACTTATGTAAACTATTGGCCTATTAAGTTTAATTCATCTTAAGTCTTGACCTATTTTCTTCTTTCTTCCAAAAATCATTCTCAAAGATAGTGAAATGAAATCCTCCTCTTCAATAGTTAAAAAAAAAAAAAAAATCCTCCTCTTCGAGATTCGCAGTGCACGTAACTTCAATTGAGGGTAAAGCACTCTAAGGGGCCGTTTAGTTCGATGATTCAAGTTTTTAATTCGAGTTAAGATCATAGCATTTTTATTGGATATATACGGGTGTGACTATCATATTATTATTTTTATATAACAAATATATAATTTGCATAACATATTGGAGAGCCGCCGTCATTTTTGGCGCAATATACCGACCATTATCATACTCCTTGATTAGAATCCGCGTTTGGTATTTGTATTTTTGTCAGAGTTATTGTTAGGGAAGTTCACGAGCATAATTTCCATTTCATTAATGCTACTAATTAAAACTTGTTTCTACCCTTTTTTTTTTTTCAAGAAAAATCAAATCTTTTCATATGAAATGAACAATTTGTACTTTTTCTGGCTTGAGAAAGGGGAACTTATGACACTTTTTCCTCTCAAAGAAAACCTGTTGCTTCTAAGGATTCTTTAGGTAGTTTGGCAAATGGGGTTCTTTTTTTCTTTTTCGCCATACTTCTGATACTCATTAAAAAAAAATAGAACTTTGGTCAACTTTATTTCTTTTTCTTTTTCAATTTTCTTTTTCTCTCTGTTTAAGAAAACTTCCTTAGAACTACAGTATATTTTAATACTCTCATGCATCTTATTTTTTAGGTCTTCCAATAATGAAAAAGAAAACGATTTGAGCTGCTTAAAAAAAAAACAAAAAACTTAACTGGGAACTATCACTCGATGCAAGATTAAAAAAATAAAAATCAATGAATGAGATGATTTTAAATTCTCATGTGTATTTATCTATTAATGAGTATTATTGTTTTAACTACAATATATTAATTTAATAGTTGTAATAAATTGAATAGTTGACTACAAAATTAATGACAATTAATGAAATTATATTCTTATCACGTTATATCATTAAATTTATTTAGAGGTGACTATTGATAGAAACGTAACTATTAAAAATTTGTATATATATATATATGTATATATATTAGAATTCTTATGTCCTGATAAAAAATTTCGCAACATACTTTTTTATGAAAAGTTTTGGTTTTTTTTTTATTTTTATTTTTTGGACCGATCTTGACGTAAATCCAATAAGAGTCGGCAGATCAATTGAGATATGCATGTGAACTAATCTAGTCAAATCAAACTAATCATCAATCCGAAAAGAAAATAAATTGGACAAATATTAATATTTTTATTGAAAATTATTCAAACAATTAAAACTATTGTTTGAATAATTTTGGACCAAAACATATCTATATTATAAAACTTGTTTTTCATGCATTTTGACCGTAAAACTTGAACAAAAGACTGTTCGTTGAACTAGGAGAATAAATAATGTAGATTTTCGGAAATTAACAGAATAAAAAAAAGATAATAGAAGTAGATTCGTGCATGTGAAATTTTCTGAATTTATTTATAAAGAAAATTATTGTACCAGAACTAGATTGAGCATGGCTTGATACAAATTTGTCAGATAGTGTACAACAGCTCAGCAAAGAGAGTGTGTACTGGTTTTAATATATATTCTATATGATTCTTCTAAACACAGGCATTTATTTGAGCAAAAAAAAAAAAACAGCCATTTTATTGAATTGTTGTGTTTTTTTTTTATGGAATATATTGAATTGTTGATTTTTTTATATTAATGGAATTTATTGAATTGTTGTTATATCTTACATAAAGTAGATTTTCATATTTCAAAATGCTTTAGAACCATATTGAGGAATAAATATATTCTCACCCCTATTAGGATAAGTAAATATTTTATATTCCGCTACCTTATTAGTAATTTGATTATTTTGTATTAATTTTTAAATGATCCAACATCTGGATTTTAGGAGATTTGTAATGATAATATGTCAATTTGTTAATCTTGGATAGCTTATCTGATTTTGTTCCATCAGTAGTGTTCTTTAGGAGTGGATTCTTTTCTTTTCTTAAACCATGGATGTAGATATAGTGCCAAATCAAATTAAATCTATACTCTGTTCTCCTTTTTATTTTTATTTTTTTTTTCATTTTGATTTTTAGTAAATCCTGCCACGATTCCATGATAGGAAAATACGGTGAAAAAAAGGGGACAAAATAAATTGATTTTTTAACATTAATTATGAATAAATTGATAATAAATACGAGTACAGAAGAAATTAATTTGGGGAAAAAAATATGTTATTGGTATTCAATCTTACTGACTAGCTCTTTATTATTATTTTTTTGGACCCAGTACTTTCTTTCTTATTGGTCATTAAAACCTTAATTAAGAACTTCAATTGAAATCATATGGAATTTAAGCAAAAAAAATGACAAAGAATTACGAACGAAGGATCTGTGTACTTTGAAAGCTCAAACCCAACCAAAAATTTCCAGCAAAAAAATAATTATAATAATAAATAACCAGCTACTGAAATTAATCCAATATTTCCTTAAATTTATTCTGATAGGTACGAATATTAAATTACTAATAAGCAAAATAATAATTATACAATCACCCCCACCAATTCTTCTGGTCTCCTAGTGCAGCCATTACTTTGCCATGCCTCTTCACTCCTCATAAAATAAACAATAAATTAATTAATTTAATAAAATTATAAAAACAATTAATTTAAAGATAATTTTAAAAATAGTCCTTAAAAATTTATGTCAATCTCACTTTAACTTCTAACTTTTAAAATGTCTCAAACTTAACTTAAACTATTTTTGTTGCAGTTTTAGTCAATCTGTCTATTGGCTGTTAAAAACAGCACGAAATATAGATGATTTTTTATCAGCAGACACTATTACTTTTCATTAAGATTGCGTGCAAATTCTTTATTTCGTTAGTAGAATGTTATTTTCCACAATCATTTTCGTGTATTCCTTTTATACTTACCTGCTAGAAAGGATTAAATCTAATTAAGGTTGTTTAATTGAGGGATTCGTACCCCGATTTGAATTATAATTCGTGATTCGTTATAGTATTTTCTCTCATAAAAAATACACGTAAATAAAAAATGATTCTAATCTCATGATTCTAATCTATAAACCAAACGTAAAATAGATTATTATTGACTTTGAAAATTTTAAAAATCGCGAATTAAAGTATGATTGATGGTGAAGTAGATTATTCGTAGGAATAATCATAAATTTATTGAAATGCAATAGAAGACGTACTTCGGTATACTAATATACTGATATGTTAAATATTTTATCTGTTAAATCAACATAAAATCACGTAATACAAATTTAACAGCGAGAATCTCCTATGTAATAAAGTAATGAAACAAACAGTACAAGCATCTTGAATAAAAAGACAATAAAGCCCTTTTGAGCGGTTCCAGTGTGTGGCAAAACTACTTTCCACGAGAGGCCTTTGTAAAAATAACATAATAGAAAAGTTGTATTCATAACATAACAATTCAAAAATTTTTATTTACAAAATGACTTTCTGAGAAAAAAGAAAAACGAAAAAAAAAGAACCCAAAACCCCTTAATCAGTTTTTATGTTTTCATGGCCAAACATGTGAGCCCGCCGCCCATCCCCACCGGAGATCCCGCCGACCATCCCCACCGGAGATCTCGCCGAGCATCCCCATCCCCACCCCGCGACCCATTGCACCTAAGCAAACCCAGCCAAGACCCATCGCGCCGCCCACGTCGAGAACCCCAACCAATCACGCCACCCACTTCCGTGCAGTTTCTCCTCATCTCCGACGGCGTTAGCAAAAACTTGAAGAAAACCGAACTCTTAGTTAATCTGGTGAGGGCTTCAGAGCTTTTCCTTGAAGAATCCGAGTGCTTCGGAGCAGTGCTTTAGTTGATCCGGTGTGAGCGCTAATCGCGGCGGGGAATCCGGCAAGAAATTAAGAGCGGCCAACGATTTGACAGAGGTGGCGGCCATGATGGAGGTGGATCTTTTCTAGAAATAAATAAAATTAAAATTAAAAAATCATTTTCCTAATTTTACTTTTTCAATTCTCTTTCCATGATATGGATAAGAGTCGTACAAAGACAGATAACGAAACGTGAAATTCCCGAAAAGTCGCTCATTACAAAATTATTTACTCTTAGAATAATTTTTGTTTTTATTATTTTTTTCATCTTACGTCGAAAAAAAAAAAAATCATCATCAAACTTTCTTCACAAGGCTGTCCCGTAATAATTCCATTTTATTCTATTTTATTCATTCTAACAAAATTTTTAACTTTTTTTTTAATATTCAGTGTGACTGATAGTCTAATACCAAAGCCAAGAGTTTCGCGAGTCCATGTTTATTCACTTCACATTCAGTCTCTCTCTCTCTCTTTTCCTCCCTCTCTTTCTCGCTCTAAAAACCGCCATTGATGGCCGTGTAAAAAGCTTCTCATGAAGCATTTCCCAGCCTCCCCAGATCTGCCATGGACCTCAAACCAATTCTTCTTCGTCTCTCTCTTCTCCTCTTCTTCCTTCTCTCTCCTCCGGTTTTCTCCGCAACAGACCCAAACGACGTAGCCATTCTGCGAGAGTTCGAGAAAGGGCTAGAGAACTCGGACCTTCTGAAATGGCCGAAAGACAACGCCGACCCATGTGGGCCCTCCAAGTGGGACCACATTTTCTGCGAGGCGAACCGGGTGACGCAGATTCAGGTCCAGAATTTGGGTCTGAAAGGACCTCTTCCCTCGAGCTTCAACCAGCTTTCCATGCTCAAGAACCTCGGATTCCAGAGGAACAGGTTTTCCGGGCCTTTACCGACCTTCAAAGGGCTGAGCAATCTGAGGTGGGCTTACCTTGATTTTAACGAATTCGATTCCATCCCAGGTGATTTCTTTGTCGGACTTGATAGTTTGGAGGTTTTGGCTCTGGACGACAATGCGCTTAATGGGACTGAAGGGTGGATATTCCCTACGGATTTGGCGAACTCTGCCCAGTTGGTCAATCTCACTTGTGCAGATTGTAACTTGGTTGGTCCTTTGCCTGATTTTCTCGGGAAAATGTCTTCTTTACAAGTTTTGACTCTTTCAGGTAATCGGATTTCTGGTGAATTCCCAAAGAGTTTCAATGGCACAGCTTTGACTAAACTTTGGCTGAATAACCAGAATGGTGGTGGGATGAGTGGGCCCATTGATGTTTTCACTACCATGGAGTCTCTTATGGAGTTGTGGCTTCATGGGAATCAGTTCAGCGGCAAAATCCCAGAAAACATTGGTAATTTAACTTCTCTTAAAAGCCTTAATTTCAATGGTAATCAGTTGGTAGGACTAGTTCCCGATAGTTTGGCCAGTTTGGAGTTGGAGAAATTGGACTTGAGTAACAACCATTTGATGGGTCCTGTTCCGATTTTCAAGGCGAAAAACGTTTCGTTTGATTCGAATGCGTTTTGTCAGACTGAACAGGGGCGTCCTTGTGCTCCTCAAGTCACGGCATTGATAGAGTTTCTTGATGGGTTGAATTACCCTTCAAAGCTAGTTTCTAGTTGGTCTGGGAATGACCCTTGTGTGCAATGGTTTGGAGTGAGTTGTGATAGTGGGAAGGTCTCTTTGATTAATTTGCCAAAGTTAAATCTGAATGGCACTTTGAGTCCTTCTTTAGCACAATTGGATTCTCTTCGTCAAGTTAGGCTTGGGAATAACCATTTGGGAGGTTCAATCCCTGATAATTGGACTAGTTTGAAATCCCTCACATTGTTGGATCTGAGTGCGAACAACCTTTCCCCTCCATTGCCTAGTTTTAGTACCTCTGTGAAAGTTAACTTTGATGGGAATCCTTTGTTGAAGGGCGATTCTTCAAATAAGACGGTCCCATCACCGCAGAAAAGCCCTTCGTCTGGGGGATTGGTGTCTCCGCCAAATGGTTCATTGTCGTCCCCATCAAGAGGCTCTCAAAGCTCCAATGGCACTTTTGAGAATACGAAAAGCTCGAAAAGCTCCAGCTTAGTTCCTATTGTGGCCCCTATTGCCAGTGTTGCTGTTGCTGCTGTTTTGCTTGTAATACCGTTGTCTATCTACTGCTGTAGGAAGAGAAAAGATGCCTTGGCTCCAAGTTCTCTTGTGGTTCATCCAAGAGATCCGTCTGATCCGGACAATACGTTTAAGATCGTTGTTGCGAATAATACCAACGCGAGCACTTCAACAGTAACGGCAAGTGAAACTGCGAGCAGAAACAGCAGCGGAATGGGCGAGTCCCATGTCATAGAGGCTGGAAATCTGGTCATATCGGTTCAGGTTCTTCGAAACGTGACGAAGAATTTTGCCCCCGAGAATGAGCTCGGCCGTGGAGGCTTTGGGGTGGTCTATAAGGGAGAATTGGATGATGGGACGAAAATAGCAGTTAAGAGAATGGAGGCTGGGGTGATTACCAACAAGGCCTTGGACGAATTCCAGGCAGAAATCGCAGTTCTTTCGAAGGTCAGACACCGGCATTTGGTGTCCCTTTTGGGCTACTCCATTGAAGGCAATGAAAGAATCCTTGTTTATGAATATATGCCTCAAGGGGCTCTCAGCAAGCATCTTTTCCATTGGAAGAGCGCGAAGCTTGAGCCTCTTTCTTGGAAGAGGAGGCTAAATATTGCTTTGGATGTTGCTAGAGGCATGGAATATCTTCACACACTGGCTCATCAAAGCTTCATACACAGAGATCTTAAGTCATCAAACATTTTACTTGGTGACAATTTCAGAGCAAAAGTCTCCGATTTCGGATTGGTGAAACTGGCTCCCGATGGGGAAAAATCTGTAGTTACCAGGCTTGCCGGGACTTTCGGCTACTTAGCACCGGAATATGCTGGTAAGTGTTCTTAGAACTTTCAAGTCTACCTTCTAAAATTTTGGTCAATTTTTACCGACAGTAACACCATTGGCTCAGTGATAAGAAGTTTAAGTGAATTTGCATTCAGTTTATGTTTTAGTTCAGTTTTAAATGTTCACTTTGCCGTAAAAACTGAATTATCAAAATATTGAACAGCAAAATGACTATCTAAATTCAAGCAAGATTCGTGTTGATTATTCAAACACAGCTTTGGATTTTATTCCCTGATTAAATTTACACTTTAGCTGCATATTTAAACGTCAGTTAGGCTTGCAATTTAAATCATACTTCGGATTATACTGTTCGAGCCAAAAAGCTTCAAGTCGCCCGGAGCCTCAGAAAAGAAGTCACCTAAAAGATTATTAGCTTGTGGGTCTAAATGATCTCAAATGTTCTTGTATTCTGTAGAATCCAAATCTCTTAACTATTTTAGTATCCATGTTTGATGAATCTGAATGTCCTACTGACCAAAATTTTGAAATGCTGATTGATTGATTCAGTGACTGGAAAGATCACAACCAAAGCAGATGTCTTTAGCTTTGGCGTTGTCCTAATGGAGCTATTGACTGGAATGATGGCACTTGATGAGGACAGGCCTGAAGAGAAGCAGTACTTGGCCGCATGGTTCTGGCACATAAAATCAGACAAGGATAAACTGATGGCCGCCATAGACCCAGCCCTCGACGTAAAAGAAGAAAAGCTCGAGAGCATTTCCACCATCGCCGAGCTAGCAGGGCACTGCACTGCAAGAGAGCCCACCCAAAGGCCAGACATGGGCCACGCCGTTAATGTGCTGGCCCCGCTTGTTGAGAAATGGAAACCGCTGGACGACGACACCGAGGAGTACTCCGGGATTGACTACAGCCTGCCCCTTAACCAGATGGTGAAGGGCTGGCAGGAAGCAGAAGGAAAGGACTTCAGTTATATGGATTTGGAAGACAGCAAGGGAAGCATACCAGCCAGGCCTACTGGGTTTGCAGAGTCTTTTACTTCTGCTGATGGTCGGTAAATGAGGAAACTTCAATGGCTCTTTTTCTTTCCTTTTTCTTTTATACATTGTTATTTCTTCTTGCTGTTGCTTCGGTTAGGTGTAGATATCATGTGGTGTTTTTTTTTTTTTTCGTAAGGGGAATTAAATTGTTGATATGCTGTAGAATTTTGTTCTACTTGTGGTAAAAATGAGGGGGATTTCAGTTTATGGGATCTCAAGAAAGCTTTGGAACTTTTTTTTTGGTCTTATTTATTTATTTATTTTTAAGTGGTTATGTAGATAGAGATCATGATGAATGAAAACTGACGATTGGCTACTTCTTGATTTTCTGTTGGTTGTTAATTGAATTAGCTTTTTCATAGCTCAATGTTATAGAGATTTTAGAAGAATATACCGTTCGAGTTGAGAACTTCTAAAGTGAATACATATCATAAAAAACACTGTAGTTCAAAAAGTTAAATTAAAATTTTTATAAAAAAAAATATTATAATAAAAATTTAAGTTGTGATTCAAATTAACTAAAGGCCCGTTCTGTTCGTTAATTTGAGTTTTTAATTTGAGTTGAGATGTGATGTTGTGTGAGAGCTTTTTACTGTAGCAAAAAAATTAGATGTAACTGTTTCTGAGAGTTTTTTACTATAACAGAACTTAAATTTTAAACTCGAATCAGTGAAAAGAACGGGATCTAAAAGAATGACGGGTAGAAATCTAGTTTGAAATATATTTCATTTAAGTATAAAGAATCAATCTAAATTCCACCTGCCATCTTGTTGAATAAAAAGTTTGGTCAAGATATCTTGATGGCAATAAATTCCTTTCAAAAATTAGGCAGAAGTAAAGAAAAAAGAGGCCGACTAGTTTGTCATTTTCTAGGGCCTCCTAACTAAAAACTATAAGCACTAGTATCCTGGTTTTTAAAATAATTGGGCTAGAAGTTAAGGCATTATTTACAAAACAAGATTTGATAATTGACAAATCAGTTGAAAATAAAATCAATAGGTTTGATATATTATATTATGATCCGACAAATTTTATCTAGTCAATTTAGTCCAAACTCAAAATTTGATGCTACTTAAGAGCCGACCTATTTGTTGGATCAATAATTAATCAACAACGTGCAGACTTCTACATCATATGGGTCTCTCTCTCTATACAGACACACACACATATATACATATGTCTCTGTGTGTGTATCGACAATAAATACTGGCCACGTATTACCAACAGATCAAATATCATTTTCGACGTCTTGAATAGTCATGCAACAGAAAATGTGAAGTTCCACAAAGCTCCAAGTGCTAATTATTTTACCGGCCGAAATTAGCTTTGGGCCCATCCCCTTGAAGTGGAGCCTCGTTTCAACTGTTGATATTTTTGAACTCTCTCTCTCTCTCTCTCTCTCTCTATATATATATATATATATACACACATACATACATACATATATGTCATAATGGAATTCAGTGTCGTCTTCTGATTTCCCAGTTTCATAACAAAACAACTTTTATTCTTGATTTACTATCTTTTTTCTATCAACCGAGAAAACAGTTGGATGTTATCCAGCACATAATAAACTAAAATTAAAATAATTTCTACCTCATTTGTGTGACACCAATATAATATATGAGGGCGCCAAATTCGTTGGCAGAGTGGGGCCCACAAGCATTTGATGTCCCGAGTATGTGGGGCACTGCCCACATGAGGATGAGGGAGAAAAAGCTCTTCATTTAATATGAGTATTTTAATTAAGGTAATTTTAATTTTAATTTTAAAATCAGAACGATGATTTATAATTTTAGGTTTAAATTATAATTTTAAAATTAGAATCAGAATTAGATGTTTAAACTATTTAAAATTAAGAGAGGTGTGATTTTAGAATTATGAGTAATTTTAGTTTAAAATATCACATCAGAATTTAAATTTTGAATCAAAATTATTTAAACTAAACATTAATTCTAAATGAGTTAAATTAAAATTATTTTTTATTTTTTTTATAAATAAATACTGATTTAAACTAAAATTATAATTTGGATTTTAGAACTTTTATACTAAACGTGCTCTGGAGGGCTTTAAGGCCAATTAGTTTTTGCCGACGTGCAAGCCATTTTCAGTTGAAAGAGATGAATGCATTATTATTAGCTACCGGCCTCATAATTAATGACCAAAGCTTTGCCTGAATGATGGTATGTGCATGACACGTGGCCGCTTTTCCTGAGAACTGGCAATTTATCCATATGATATTTTGGCTGCAATAGTACTTTCCAGCGCAAAATTTGTCTATTCTACAGTGACAAAAGAAGAAGGAAAATACAACTTTTTGTAGTTATTATTTATTAAAGATACACAAGCCAATAACACTACTAGAATGAGACAACGAGGCTCCATCATTGTGCAAAAATTATATATTTTCGAGAATTTCTAAATAATATATATTTTTGTAAATATTCTTATAAAAGAACATCAATTAAATTCCACATACACATGAACGTGAAATACTAGTAGACTTCACGCAAGTTGTAATGAATGACGTCTTTTGTTTAATAATCCCCTTTTCTTTTGTCGTTTTACCACCACTAACAAAGCTTATTGTTACACCACGGTCGAGAAATCGATCGATCCTTTAATTAACAAGCGCTGAAATATCTCAGTTGAGAGTCGGTTGCTGACGTCGAAGAAAAAGTCGAACCTAGGATGCCCTCAAGACGGCGAGGATTCGTGCAGGAGGATACGTGTCGAGGACTCCGCCTGAGTTGTAAGGGTCACGACGTCGATAAAGCAGCCCGGTCCAATCCAAACCAAATCTTGTCAACTCGAGGGATTGTACCAACTATCATGGTTCAGGTCCGAAAATTAGGTAACTGGTAAGGGTGGTTAGCCTGATCTGGAAGCTGAAATCATGAGAACGCAACTATCAAATCCCATAATTTATGAAAAAGAGATGATCTCCTCGAAAAATGTAGATGATGTCCCTCATATGTACAAGGCCTATAAATAGAGCCATGCGAATTCATTAAGTTTTTTACGCACTATACTACTATTTCAGAAGGATTGTAATCAACAAAATATTAGTGCATCCACAAGCGGACGTAGGCAAAGAATTCTTCCTGAACCACTATAAATTTTTGTCTCCTTAATCTTTTCATTCAACAATAATCATTGATTAATTCGTGAGAGATTACTATGAGTGTTCTCGGAGAGTTAATCTTTAGTTGACTAAAATTAACCGTCAATAATTGGCGCTAGAAGGAGGGCCATAAACCCAGGAATCAAATCTAGCAGTAAGCAGTGAATATGGCTCCGAGAAAGACTCGCAGCATAGCGGTAACTTAGAAAAGCCATGAAGGCCAGAATCCTATCGTCGGAGGAAGGAATCCAACAAATCCGCCCAACGGCGGCCAGGAACCAGCGGAGGTACGACCTAACTGCATGGCACAACCATCGGCCGCTGGAAACCCCCCAGACTGCCTTGACCAGCTCCAAAGGCAGGTCGAAACACTCATTGTAGCCATAAAGAGGATGGCTAAAGCCCTCGCTAGACGAGACCAAAGGCCAAATTTGATGCCGTCGTTGGATGATGCGCTGACGAACCCAGTGAACGCCGCTGTCGGGAACCAAGTGATTGGTGACCAATGTGGTGAGGCTGAGGGAGTTGGTGACAGTGGGGCTAACAATCCCCACTCAGCCAAGTCGAATAGGTCTGTGGGGAGTAAGCAACGGGCTGCCAGGATGAGAGCCCAAGAGAGGGCTGCGGCCCAGACAACGAATAATAGAGAAGTGCCTCATCAGCCACAAGAGAACGTGAACCGGAGAATCGTTGTTCCGGTAGAATCTTCATCTATATGCGGGGGAGGCCTGAAAGAGC